AGGAAATTAAAAGACATATTGAGATGGGAAAGTCTGCTGTTAGGGACCTCTCTAAAATACTCAAGTGCAACGGTGTGTCTCTGGAGACGTAGATGCATCTGGTACAAGCCATGGTCTTTGCAATCACTTGTTATGCATCAGAGAGTTGGACAATGACCAGGGAGGATAGGAGAATTGATGCTTTTGAGCTTTGGTGTTGAAGAAGAGTGCTGAGGACTGCTAAGAAAACAAACAGGTTCATCCTACCCTCATTACCCATCACTGTATCAATCAATCTCGATTGTCGCCCTCTCTTTCTCCATCCCTTCACCCTTCCAAGCATGATGTCCCTCTCTGAGGACTGGTTCCTCCTTGCAACATGCCCAAAATATGTCAGATGAAACCTCAGAATCCTTGCCTCCAAGCCTGGCTTCACCCTTTCTAGGATAAACTTGTTTGTTCCCCTGGCAGTCTATGGTATATTCAATACTCTTCTCCAACACCACAGCTCAAAGGCATCAATTTTCTTTCTATCATCCCCAATCATTGTCCAGCTCACTGATGCATAGCAAGCAATCACAAAGACTATGGCCTTGATCAGGTGCACCTTAGTCTTCAGAATGACATCCTTGCTCTTCGTTACTCTGGAGAGTTCCCTGACAGCCAACTTTCCCAATGCAATTCATCTCTTTCCTGACTGCTTGTACTAAGACTGTTTACTATGGAGCCAAGAAAACGAAAACTGTTAACAATCTCAATCTCTTCACCATCTATCATAATACTTCCAATTGGCCCAATGGTGAGAATCTTTGTTTTCTTGATGTTGAGCTTCCATCCATCTTGATCTTCTGCAATAAGCACTTCAGATCATCTTCAGTTTCAGCAAGCAGGGTTGTATCATCTGCATAACACAGATTGTGGATGAGTCTTTCTCCAATCCTGATGTCACATTTCTCCTCATAAAGTCCAGCCTCCAGGATGATCTGTTCTGCATATAGATTGAAAAGGTATGGAAATAGAATATGTTCCTGGTGTACACCCTTTCCTATTTTGAACCATGCAGTGTTTCATTGTTCTGTTCTGAGTAGGAGGGAGAAATATGAATTATAGGCTTGAGGGTGTTAGAGAGTCGCCCTCCAAAGTGGCGTGGGCCAGCCTCACAGTCTCTTCTGGCACTAAGCATTTCTTACTGACCGGGGGGAACCTTTGCCCCATAGCTGCGGTCCTGTGGCCTGAACTGCTGACCGGTGTGGAGAGGTCAGGATTAAATGCAAACTCAGGCCTTTCACATTCAATTGAAAAACGAAGACAAAAACATCAGATCCCCAAATGGTTCACATATAAATGACGTCAGTCTTTCACTGGTATGTCTTTCCACCCCTCATTTTCTTTTTCATAATTTATTTTGTTGTTGGGAATATACATAACAAAATATACCAATTCAAGTTTCTACATGTCCAAGTGGTGGCTTAGTGGTAAGGAATTGTGCTGCCAGTTCAGAGGTGCAAACTTTGAATCCACTCCACTAGCTGCGCTGTGGAAGAAAGATGGGCAATCTCTTCCTGTGAGATTTACTGCCTCTGAAAACCTGCTCCAGGGTCAACTCTGAGTCAGTTATGACCTGATGGTACTCAACAGCAACAACAACCCAGAACAATTCAGCAACAGTAAATTATGGGACCGTTCTCACTCCCTTCCCCCCACTGTTCCTCCCATTAACATGAACTTGTTGCCTCTCAGTCTCCTGTCACCTTTGGAGATGTGACAAATGGGTCCCATATAGATAGATCTTGAAAGACCAAGGTAAACACTCTTTACTAGGGAAGCAAAAGTATTTGTTTGGGTTTTAGGAGACTTTTTCAAGAGCATGTTTTCAGTTGAGGTTTAAAGATGATCACAGAGTAACTCTCATTCTTTTTCCCCTCTTAGAAATGCAGAGAGCTTCATATTACTTTTAATTATTATCAATATTAATGAACGTTTACAGAGACTTTGGATTTCCATTCATTGTTACATTTTTCTCCCTATCCACCCCTCCACCCCGACAGTTCGTTCTTCTATTTGGAAAGTAAAAGAAAAATTCTTTCATTGTTATACAATCCCCCCTTCCAAGACATTATTAATATTGATAATAATTAAAAGTAATATGAAGGAAAAAAATAGTGATTCTGCCCTTAGAAAGTGGCATTAATTTGAATAAAAAGCAAAGGCTCTGATCTGAAAAAAAAAAAAAAAGAAATGCAGAGAGCTTTCTGATATGCATCTGAGAGCTGGACAATAAATAAGGATGTTGGAGAAGAGCAGTGAACATCCCATGAACAGCCAAAAGAATGAACAGATAGTTCTTGGAAAGGGTGCAGCTGGAGTGCTCTTTGGAGCAAGAATGAGGAGTCTTCACCTCACATTCTTTGGACATGTTGCTAGAAGGGTCTATTCTTTGGAGAAGGACATGACGCTGGGAAGGGTGGAGGGTGGGTGAAGGAGAGGAAGATCCTCAACCCGGGTTGATATACGGGACTGCTGCAACAGGCTCTTGTGTGTCAAGAAGTGTGAGGATGGTGCAGGATAGAACAGGGTTCAGATCTTTTGTTCATACGGTTGCTATGAGTCGTACTGACTGCACGGCACCTAACAACACAGATGTATGAGCACTCGTGGACATCGACCCTACAGCTCACATTTATGTCATGACAAAATTAAAACTAAGACTAGTTTCACATTCCTCAAGAAATTATTTTTTTAAAAAATGCATTTTCAATTTCTCTCCCTTTTCAAGTATTTTGAGTGTTTAATAAAATATTGCCCTGCAGGAAGGGGAGGCTGGTGAAGGCCTGATTTTCGGGATACAGAGCAGCCTGGCTCACAGCGCAGACACCTGACTGTGTAGGTGGGCTCGAGTGGGAAGCCCTGCCTTGTGTCGCTGCCTGGTCAGCTTGGCTCTTTGGCTGAAGCAGTCAGGGTTGAAGTCCAGAGCAGGGTGTGGGGCAGAGAGTGGCGGGGCTCTTTCTGAAGCCCCTCCCCGCGCTTGATCCTGGAGCTCTTGCCCTTTGAGCCACGAGGCCTGGCTCTCACTCCGTTATCGGCTCCAGGAGCAATGGGCAGCATGCAGCGGCTGCTTGTATCTGGCCCTGTGCGCGCCCTGGGCGCATGGGGGATGCGCTGCAGCGGCAGCCGCCTCCGGGGTCCCGGCACGCTGCCTCTGGCGAAACTCTGCGACCCCAGGCACAGCTCGAGCCGCCAGGCCTCGGACGCCACCTTTAACCAGCCCCCAAGCTCGGAGTTCGTGGCCCGGTCCGTGGGTATCTGCTCCATGATGCGGCTGCCCGTGCAGGCCTCCCCTGAGGGACTGGACGCCGCCTTCGTCGGGGTGCCCCTCGACATTGGGACCTCCAATCGGCCCGGGGCAAGGTAAGGCTGGGCCCATCAGAGCTGGGGCACGTGGCAGGAGGGCCATGCAGGTGCTGAAGGGGTACAAAGAGGCGCCTTTTAGAGTGCAGGTTGGAAGCTGGGTCTCATTCGAAAAGTTTCTTCTTGTTAGTGGCGCAGTGATTTCCCTGTCTGCCCCTGTAAGCAGCCCTGAGCTCAGCACGCCTTCGGGAGGTCTTGTCCTCTGTTCCTCTCACTGTCACCCGTTAGTGAAGGGCTTCTGGGACTCAGCTTTCCCCAGACCCCAAGGATAGCAACCGTGGATTCTCTGTTCCTGCCCCGTGACACAGCTTCTTGAAAACCGAAGCAATTCCCAAAACCTTCCGGTGTCAATGGGATTCGAGAAAAGCTCAAATCGAGTCGGTTTTCCTAAGAGCAAGTCAGAGGAAGTCAAGTTCCTTTTCTTAAACTATTTAGCATCAGCTGTTGGTGCGGCCTGGAGGCACAGTGTGCTATGCACAGGGCTGGTGGCAGGAGAGGGTGGAAGAAAAATATAGCAGTTGCCCCCATGCCTTGTCACTCCCTGAGAATCCTGATGGTTCCAAGGGTGGCCAGAACAAAGACCAGACCAAGCGATAAATCATGATAAGGCTCTGGGCCTGATCAGGAAGCCCTGACCTGAGTTAATTAACGGCCCGTGATTACAAGAGGCACCATCTTCCCTAGTCCTCCACAAGACCCTTATAAAACGAGACCACTGCTAATTACCGCTGCGCCATTCTGACTTTCTCCACTCCTGGTCACGTGGCGTCCCTCTCAGACCACGCAATAAAGGCCTGTTCATTTCTTGGGACCAGTTTTTTCCCTCTCTTTCGACCTCGGCTCCTTTTCTAACAGTGGGCATCCACTCTGGCTTGGTCCTGGTTTTGGGTGTGCCTCAGCAACATGACATCTGACTGTACGGCCTATATCATTTAATAGATGTCCACTAAGTATAAAGCACTCTGCAATAGCAGGGTAAAGGAAATAATACTATTTTACAGATTAGGAAACTGAAACTAAAAGAGGTGACAATTAAATTGTTAATAGGGAGCTCTGGTGGCCTAGTGGTAAGGAGCTGCACTGCCAACTTGAAGGCACACAGTTCGAATGCACATTCTCCTCCACTCCAGAGATATGGGGCGGTCTTCTGCCTTTGCTTTACCACCTTGGAGGGCCAGCTATGGGTTAATTCTGACTTGATAGCTGCTTGTTATTTCCTATGGCAACAACATAGCAACTCTATGTACAAAAGCTCTGAACCCTGCTCTATCCTGAGCCAACCTTATCACCTCTAACAAACCTAACCCCATTATCCCAGTCACTGAGTCAATCATCTCATCAAGGGTCTTCCTCTCTTTCACTGTCCCTCCACCCTTCCTCCTTGCAACATGCCCAGAGCCTGTCACACGAAGCTTCAGAATCCTTCCTGCCAAGAAGCAGCCTGGTTTCACCCTCTCTAGGAAGAACCTTTTTTGTTCTCCTGACAGTCCATGGTATTATATTCAATACTCTCTTCCAGCATCACAGTTCAAAGGCATTGATTTTCTTTCTATCATCCCTAGTCATTGTTCAGCTTTCTGATGCATAACATGTAATTGTGAAGACGATGGCCTAGATCAGGTGCAACTTAGTCTCCAGACTGACTTGATGGTACATAACAACAAACAACACTACTAAGGATGGGTTTTACTCCATCTGCAGCTCTGCAGGACAAAGATGGACAGCTGCAGTGAGGTTTCCTTGAGTAGAGAAAAAAAAGACTGATGCCTTTGAGAGGTAGTTTTAGAGAAGAGCATGGACTATGCCATGGACTTTCAAAAGAACAAACAGGTATTCTTGGGAAAAGTGCAGCCACAGTGGTCTTGGAGGCATGGACGGTGAAGCTTCGTCTCACATACTTTGAACATGTTAGGAGAGGCAGTTCCTTGCAAAGGGACATTATGTTGGAAAGGTGGAGGGTCGGCGTAAGAGAGGAAGACTCTCACCCAGATGGATTGACACAGTACCTGCAGCAAGGGGCTCGAGTGTGTCAGAGATGAGGAGGAGGACGGCTCAGGATAGGACAGGATTCAGATCATACTCAACTCGACAGCACCTAACAACAATGCAGAGGTTCTGATGGCCTAGTCCATAGCAAGTTGTGCTGTTAACCCAGAGTAGATCCTCTCCAGAGATTCAAGTCCATCAAAAGCTCTGAGGGAGAAAAACGGGCAGAATTCTTTCATGCGATTTACAGCCTTGGCCACCCCCAAAAATGTCAGCTATGAGCCTGTTCTGACAGCAATGAAGTACTTACTAAAGCGGTGGGCCAAAGCCTGTGCCTTTTACTCTCTTCAATATACAGACCGGGTCAGTGGTTCTCAATAGGAGCTGGTTTCACTTCCCAGGGCACATTTCACAATGTCTGTACTGAAAACTACTTGCTCTTGGCCGCTAATTAATCTACTCAGTTACACTTCAGAAGAAAGGAAGGCCTGGTGACATGAAGGGTTACCGTGAGTTGGAACTGCCTCGAAAGCAGTGTTGTTGCTGTTCCTTTGTGCCTTCGAGTCAGAACCTACTCACAGCTGACCCTCCAGTGACTTTTCAGAGGCAGTAAATTGCACAGGAGGAGATTGCCCATCTTTCTGCCTCGGAGCATTCGAACCGTTCCAACTGCCTTTGGGTTGGCAGCGCAACTCCTTATGACTAGACCACCAAAGCTCTCTCTAAAGCCATTAGTTTGGTATCTTTTTTCTGTGGAAGCATTTTTGGTTATGACTGAGTGAAGAGTGATGCTACTGGCACCTGGGGGGGAAGGGGGTTCAGGCCTGGGATGCTGCCAACAATGAACAGCACAGGGCCCCTTGGGAAGAGCCGCTCAGCCCTCTTCAGTGCAGCAGCGTGAGTCTGAGAAGCCCTGGCCTCGAGTCTCCGCCTAGGTGGATGACTTGCTGTGTTGTTCTTCCTCTTCCAGATTCGGACCCCGACGGATCAGAGAGGAATCAGTGTTGCTGCGGGCCATCAATCCCAGCACCGGGGCCTTCCCCTTCCAGTCCCTCATGGTTGCGGACCTGGGCGATGTGAACGTCAACCTTTACAACCTTCAGGACAGCTGCCGGCTCATTCGCGAGGCCTTCCAGAAGATCACAGCAGCTGGCTGTGTTCCTCTGACCTTGGGTAATGGCGGCCTGCAAGGGCCGAGGACTCTCTGAGGTTTTCACCTCCTGGGCCAGAGTTCGTCTGCTTCTCGGGGCGAACCCCTGCAGGCAAGGAGTCGGTAGAACAGAAGTTTAAAGTCTTGTCTTATTTTAACCCCTGAGGAGAAGTTATTTAAAGTTTTGGGACAAGTATGAATGACAGGTTTGAAATAGGGTGAGACAAGGGAGACACTGGCCTTCAGTGTAAAATGTAAGAGGAGCCAAACCCCCCATACTCAAGGTCATGTCAACGTGGTTGATTTTTGTGTTTGTCTCAGGCTCCAGTGGACCTCAGTATGGCACATACTGATCCTGTGTTTAATTCCCACCCTCCCTATAAAGACCCTTTTATTAAGACATACGCAGGACAAAGACAAGACATAAAACATTTCTGAATGAGAGCAACCATCAGCATAATGCCCCCAAATTCCCATCTTGGATATTTTTGGGGATATATATTGAGATCCTGGTTTTAAAAAATATTATACTAAAAGTCTTTATCTTGGTTATGGAGGTTTTTGGTGACCCCTAACTCTCGCACCCACTCCCCTCAGCTCTCGTCTAGTCCCTGCACTGATGCCTGATTCGCTGCCAGCTGGGTTAAGTCAGGGAAATGGAGACTTCCCCCTGGAGCTCAGTTAGAACTTTCCCTCCGCCTCGAGGTTATTGTTCCTAATGATTTTATCTGTGAGGGGAGCTAATTGCAAAGGGGTGTTTTCACCCTGGCCAGGTTCTACCTCCAACAGCTTTTCCCACCTCCTCTCCTACCCCACCAACACTAAAGCTTCTCTTGCTGGTCCACAGCAAATGATATGGTTGCTTTCCGAGATTTTAAATTTATTTCTGCCAAATTGAGAGACTACCCAGCCTGCAGAGTATATTGTTGTTGTTAGGTGCCATTATTACTCAATTACTCATAGCAACTCTATGAACTACAGATCTGAACCCTGTCCTATCCTGTGCCATCCTCACAATTCCTGACACACCAGGGTCCATTGCAGCAGTCACCATATCAATCTACTTGGTTGAGCGTCTTTCTCTCCTCCGCTGACCCTCCACCCTTCCCAGCATCATGTTCCTCTCCAAGGAGCAGCCCCTCTTAGCAACATGCCTGAAGTATGTGAGATGAAGCCTCATCATCCTTGCCTCCAGGTAGAGGCCTTTTGGAGGCCTGCATAGTCTAGCAGTAAGGAATTGCAAAGTTTCTGGGCTCAGATCGCATGGTTTGAACTCTCAGGTCTACTTCCCAGTAGCTTTGCTGCTTATTGTAGTGCATTATGCTTTATCTTCTTCTCTGTAAAATGAGAAGACTAGTAATACTCCAACTTCATTGTATTGCGTGAGAGACATATGATGAAAGTGCATATGAAGTGTCTAACATTGTACCACCTGGCACATTTGAAACTGTCATCTAAAAATGCTAGCTACTTCTATTAAATAATATGAACTATTATTTATAATTAACAATAGTAATCGCTTTGTAGGCCTGCACTGTCTGGTAAGGTAGCCACTAGCCACAGGTGATCACTCAAGTTAAAAAGGAATGGAAATGAAGGGAACTCTGGTGGTCTAGTGGCAAAGAAGCTGGACTGCAATCATGAAGGTGCGAGGTTCAAATCCACCAGATGCTCTACTAGAGAAGGAGGGGCACTCTCCACCTGTGCCAGTCAGATCTGGTTCGATGATACACAACAAGGGGTGGGGGGAAAGAAAAACAATGAAAATGAGATGAAGGGGAAAAAAAATTCAGTTCCTTTGTCATGGTGCTTCTATTTCAGTAGCTACATGGGGCTGTTGTTTTTTGGTGCTGTTTAGTTGATTCTCACTCCTGGCGATCTTGTGGACAACAGAATAAAACCCGCCTGGTCCTGTATTGCCTCACAGTCCCTGTTGTGCAGAAGCCCATTGTTGCAGGCACTGCCAATCCGCCTGGCTGAAGGTGTTACTTCCAACCATGATGTTCTTCTTCAGGGACTGGTCTCTCTGGATAATATGTCTAAAGTATGTGAGATGAAGTCTTGCCGTCTTTGTTTCTGTGGCTGAATTTTTTCGAGGATAGATCTGTTTGTTCTTTTGGCCTCTACATCAGCCAGTGCCGATAGAAAGTTCTGTCGGACAGAGTTATGTTAGACATTTACCTGTAAGTCTGGTTTTGTCTAATTTTCCCTCTTATATGAAAGTGAAGCAACAGTGAAACATCATCCTACCATTGGAAAAGGTGTTAGATCTAGCTGAAGTTCTTTGGGGTTCCTATGTGGTGCAGATGGTTCAGTCCTGGGCTAATAACTGAAAGGTTGGTGGTTCAAACCTGCCCAGAGGTGAGTAGAGATTAAGGCCTGGTGAATTGCCATTGAAAAGGCACAGCCTTGAAAACTCTGTGGAGCATATATGGAGTCACCATGAATTGGAGTCTACTCCCTGGCCACCACGACCAGAAGTTAATTGAGCCTAATTAAAAGGCTAGCTCAATTGGGTGAGTTTAAGATTGGTCTCTGTAATATGTGGTTGTCTAGTCTTACCACATTCTGGATTCTTTTTTCCCTTTTTTGCAGGTGGAGACCACACGATTACATATCCCATATTGCAAGCGATAGCTGAAAAGTAAGTTCCAAGTGGCATGGCTCTAGCAAGGTTTCAACACTCAGGGCTGAGGGTGAGGTGTCCGCAGCATCAGGTGACCTCTGCTGGCTCAGCCGGGGTGATAGGAAATTCCCAACTGGGCTGTGTCTGCAGTTCAGAATTAGGGTTGAGCACCTGATGTCTCTGTCAGTCACCAGCTGGAAGCCAAGACCATTTATTATTAACACGTCTTGGCCCAGGGTCTATTCTAGAATGCGAGCTCAGTGTTTTCTACTCCCCTCTGCTTTTGGAACATGAGCTGGTGAAACACTTGAGTTAATTTGGTTTCTGATTTGCTTCAGCGGTGGAATACAAATATTGAGAGACCCAAGGGTAGGGCTGTGCAGGGGCCTGTTTTCAGAAACGGTCCTCATCTCAGACATCAGAAAGATCGGTTTTTAGTGGTGCAAGTCCTTCGGGAGTTGACTTGTAGTGGCCACTGAGTTGTGTGTCACTCATGACAAGCTGAAGTGTAAATGGCAGATGGCACGCTGCCCCAGCATGGCACTGTCTTCATTGTTGGTATGTTTGAGCCCATTCTTAAGTAAGTACTTGTATCCATGTGGCTCCTCTTCCAGATCTATATGGGATAATAAATAGCCTGCTCTGACCCACAGTGTTTTCATTGGCTTTCAGAACTAAATGTCCAGGCCTTCCTAATTCACCTGGTAGATGCTCTGCTGAAACGGTCCACCATCGTTTGTTTGCATTCCCCCCCTGCCCCAACCATGGTTTTTTAAATACTGGTCACACAGCTTCCAGCATCAGACATAAGTCACCACAACATGACTAACTAACAGATGGGTGGTGGAGGGACTGGCTAGCTTGGGCCAACTTAGTTTCAGAAAGAAATAGGAAAATAGGCAGCACTAGCTTCAGAATCTGATTTGAGGAAGGACACGCAGATGGCATTTTAGTCAGGGGTGGTGGGTATAGGTCTTTCCTTAAAGCTGTGTTTGCACAGTTTTGATTTGCATGGTGCATTGGTGTAGTTGGAGGGAGGGAGGCTCTGGTCAGCCAAGCTCGCCTCTGAGCCACTGTCCATGCTGTCCTCCCTGCTTCTCCATCTCCACATGATGCAAACACTGGGCGATGGGGAGTGGGTGGCAGCCAGTACACACGCTTTCTGCCTGCCTTCTTGGAGGATGTTGTTCTTCTGAGATGCTACATGATTTTGGTTTGAAGACAGAAGCCAGTTGCAAGGCAGGTACCGAGGCCAGATCTCTTTGCTGAGACCTTAATTTGGCACCCTAAGGCCAGCAAGGAGGCCTCTGAGTTGTCCTGTGTCACAGGCATGGCCCCGTGGGACTGCTGCATGTGGATGCTCACACAGACACGGCCGACAAGGCCCTGGGGGAGAAGATCTATCACGGGGCGCCCTTCCGACGATGCGTGGACGAGGGCCTCCTGGACTGTAAGCGAGTGGTGCAGATCGGCATTCGGGGCACTTCCTTCACCTTGGATCCCTACAGATACAACCGGAGTCAGGTGACAGACCGAGCACCCCATTCCCACCCACTCCCCCAACCCTGCCTCTCGAGGCACCTACCACAGGGCAGCAATCGATTCAACAGGGGCTTCACTCATCAAATTCAGAGAGTGGGGCTGGAGGGTTGAGATGGCATCCAGACGGGCACGTGGAGCACCGGGAGGTGAGGACGTTCGTCTGCTGGGCACAGGAGTCCTCTTATCACTGGGTGGGGAGACAAGGAGAAGCCAGCCAGCCCCTCAGAGGTTGCTGGTGTCTCTTGGGAAAGTGAGTTCTACCCAAGGTGAGCTGCCCACTCTTAGAGTTATCCTCATAACCACGCGGAAATGAAGACGGCTCCTCCGGTGGCTGCCAACCCGAAGGTTTTCGGTTTGAATTCACTAGCTGCTCTGTGGGAGAAAGATGGACCGTCTCTTCCCAGGAATTTTACTGCCTTTGAAAAGTTGCTGGAGAGGCAGCACATAACAACCAAGTATGTTAACACCTGAGACGGGCCACCCCGTCCTGAGACTGTGAGCAGAGTTCCTCACTATTTGATGAAACCTTTATCTGATCCCAGCTCCACAGCTTAGCTTTGACGTCTCACGTCTTGCCTAGGCCCTGTCCCCCCTGTCCTCACACACCTGCCTCATCTGTAAAATGGGGACTGGGGGTCAAATATAATGCCTATGAAGAGCTCAGCTTGGAGGCTGGCACCAAAAAGTGCCCAGAAACATTGTCATGCAGACACCTCAACCTTCAGACCCTTACCTGTGTCCTCCCCAGGGCTTCCGCGTTGTCCTGGCTGAAGACTGCTGGATGAAGTCGCTGGTTCCTCTGATGGGAGAGGTGAGGCAGCAGATGGGAGGCAAGCCCATTTATATCAGCTTTGACATTGACGCCTTGGATCCTGCCTATGCCCCGGGGACAGGGACGCCTGAAATTGCTGGGCTTACCCCAAGTCAGGTAAGGGGGTGCCATGTTTGGGAATTCCTGGGGGGCGGTGAGGGGGGATGTCAGGGACTCGTGTGGGCACGGCAGGAAGCAGGTTAGAATTTGACAAGAGAGTATGCACTTGTTCCTCTCTGGCCACACTGCAGGCCTGAGCACTCCCATATTCTCATTTGGGACACGATGCCTCTCGTTAGTTGCAGTCAATTCTGAGCAACTCTATGCACAAGATCGAAACCTTGCACAGCTGTGTACCTTCCTCACAGTCTCCACTGTGCTTATGCCCACGGCTGCTGTCACTGTCAGTCCAGCTCTGTGAGGGTCTTCCTCTCCTTTGCTGAGTCTCCAAGCAAGAAGTGGCTTTCCAGAGACTGTCCTCTCTCTTATTATAACACTCCCAACTTAGGTGAGATGAAGTCTCACCATCCTTGCCTTTAACAAGCACTCTGGCTCCTCTTTTTCCAATGGAGATTTGTTCTTTTAGCTGTCTATGATTGAATAGTTCTTTAGTTTCATGCTTCTGGCCCACTCATAGTCAGTTCATAGGGTCATGTGGTAGTCCCTCCCTGAAACATATGAACATTACCTTTTTTTGGATTAAATTTGACAAGGGCATACAATGCGATTAATGACCAATCCTGTAGTGGAAAGGTGAGGCAGTCTCAGCACCCAACACAGGGACCCCAGGTGCTGGAATTGACTCAAAAGGCAGTGGGTTTGGTTTCAAGGTGGCAGAGCTCCTCCTTGGAAGCAGACATGGAATGTGGTTCTCACTGGAAGGTGAGCTCCAGGAGGAAAAGGCCTCTTTGTTCTGTTCACTGTTTGTCCTTAGAGTATAGAAAGTGCCTGACATAGAAACAGTAAGTATCATCAGAGATGCTTGGTGTGTAACTGAAGTCTGCTTAAATCTAATCCATTAGCTGAAGTATGAAAAACCCTCAAAACCAATCTCAATCTCCATCCTCATGCCTCTGCTTTCCCAACCTTTCGTCGCCAGTTTCCACTCTACCTTTATTACGCTTTAACTCTTTGGAAAGTGAGGGACAACTATTTGATATATTTAATAGATCAGATGCTGAAAAAGGTAGCTTACAAAGCTATTTTGATTTGCATACAAAGGCAAGGGGTCTCCTCCACCACTCCCTCTTTTAAGTTGTTCTCTAGCCACATCTGCTTGCACTTCTCCCATTTTAGTGAGTTTGCAGATGTTTTCATCTCTGCCTGGAATGTGCCAAGGTCAACTCCAGGCTAAGAGCTAAGTCTGTTCTGTGCTGGCTTCTCCTGAAGTCCTAAACACATGGCTTTGCAAGGACTTACCCCCACCTCAGAGGCAAGAACTGTTAATAGGATTCCAGCAAGGCAGGTCCTCTCAAGGGAGGGCCAGGGATTAGGAGTCACTGAAGCCACTGCCAGTAGCTGTTCTTTGCAAATGTTACCGTGGTAGGTAACGTGCACTTCCATCTTCCACAGGCTCTGGAGATCATCCGGGGCTGTCAGGGCCTGAACGTGGTGGGTTGTGATCTTGTGGAAGTTTCACCCTTGTATGATCATTCTGGTAAGTGAGGAAATGGATCTGTAGGTGACTGCTAGTGTCAAGATTTCTGTAAGGAGGGCGCTCTGGTGGTGCGGTCCATTAAGGAGCTGTGCTGCTAACCCGGGGTGGGGGGCACCTGGGGGTGGAAGACAGGTAATCTCTTCCGGTGTGATTGAAAGCCTCTGAAAACTCTGCTGGGGCGTCCATTAGGAGTTGGTTCTTAATCAACAGCAATGAGTGAGTGATTAAAGAAGTAGAAAACAGATGGGTATCCTTCGTTCCTGCTGAGTATGTTTGATAGTGAAGAAAATGAGTCTGTTAGTGCCCAGTTACAAACATGAGCCAGTTAACCTCACACCACCCCCCGGAGGCGCCATGTATTACTAGTGTTCTCACCAGTCAGAAGAGCAACCAACCTACGTTCAGAGGCCGAGTGGCACAGTTCCAGCCGCCTGTCACTGAAAACGGAATTCTCAAAGCATACATCAGAAAGTGGGGAGTTGGCACGTTTAGGAGAGCTCGTTAAAGTAGATGGTATCCCAGTGACTTTAGAAAAGCCTAGAGAATTTGGCCTATTAGCCTCAGTAGATAATAAATACGTATCACTGTTCTAGGTTTTCCTTTAGGGGGCGGGGCTTAAATCTGTTCTCAGAGTAAACAAGCTTCTGAATTTTAGAGTACTCTTTTTCCAGTGAAGCTGGATGGAGGCAGAGACCCGGGAAAGGGCATTCATGCAGTGGCTGGGCAGCTGAGGAAGGAGACAGAAGGCAGACAAGTGAATGGGGCCCTGGGGCTGCTCCAGGAGGGGCTTGTGGGTATTCATCCTGAGCTTTCTCTTTGTAGGAAACACAGCACTGCTGGCGGCCAACCTGTTGTTTGAAATGCTGTGTGTTCTCCCCAAAGTGAAAACTGCCTGAGCTTGTGTTTCTCAAGAGGTAAGAGCAGACAGCATTGCCGGCAAGTTCTTAATAAGAACTTGTCAGCAAGCAGGTTGGGTTCCGAAGCCTTCAGGCCAAGAGCGCTTCCTGTGCAAAGTGTCATTGGTGTCTGTGATGTCAGGACCCTTGGACTCCAGGAGAGTGCACATCCCAACAGTCAACATTTCGAAGGAAGCGTTTTACTGCTCTGATTTTTTGCCTTTGATGAAAGATGGGGAAGAGATAGAAAATTTCGTTCAATGTTATCTAAGAAATGAAGAAATGGAATAAAAAGATGAAAGAATACAAACACTCCATATTGCTACAGTATCCTATGGCTGGGGGGCATAAGGCTGCACCTTGCTTTTGGATCTGTTGAGTTAAAAATGTGAAAGAATGTAATAAGCAGATCCTAATGGCACAGCTTCTCACTTAAAACGAGGAGGCTGCATGAAATGTCTTCTATGTTCAACAGCATCAGCTGGACCCTAAAGAGCTCTTACTGAAGCTTCCTCTCCCCGTTCTCTGCCAATCTGTCTGTTTATATATCTCCTCTTCAAGTGGGTGCACCGCTTGCAACATCGACTCTTGCCCTTTCCAGTTAGGCTTGTGTTGGGTTACATACATATAAAGTCAATTTTGTTGATATGGTATCTGTTGATTAAATCACCACAGTGTAATGCAAGACCTACCCCATAATCATCACACATTAAAATAGTTTATTTGTTTCCAGTCTATAATATTCTTGAAACAAAATAACATCAGCTTCAGTGCTTGTTCACAATAAAAAAAAAAAAAATCCAAAAAACAAAAAAACATAGAATAGACACGATTTGCCAAATAAGTTATTTGTTCCTAAGAGTATCAAAAGTGCAAAATATTCACCTTCTTTTAAGTCTGTCTCCCAAATACAATCATCCTCTGTGACAAACTGAACAGACAGGTTCTGCAGCTGCCACACTTGTTTTGTTTCCAAGGGACAATGTCAAGTATTTGGATGCGAACAACTATTTGTAGAAATGTTGTGCATCAGCTTTTAAACAATTAAAAGTTTTTGTTTGCTTCCGAGCCCTCTTCCCAAATGAGTGAAATCACCCTTTAGAAGCCGTTTCTTTTTCTAGCACAGAAAACATGTATGAACTGACGGCAGCTGCAAATTGATTAGGATGATAGTATATAAAAGGCGACAAAGCTACTAGGCCAGGGATGGGAAGAAAATCAACCTAACTGAAAACTACAAGGTTTTCATGGCAATGAAAAAGTACTTCTGGAACAGGAGTGCACTCTCTGGAGCTGTTTCTGTCAGTTGCTATTTTGCTCCTATCTGCCAAACATGATGTATAATTCAACAACTTATGCCCAACCAGAAAAATCTTCCCTCTAGAAGAACCAATGCTGAGAGATTCAGGGTACTGGAAGGCTTGGAAGGTCACTGAAATCAGAAACTGGATCTGGTACGATTACATTAAGTAGAAGCACTGGCTGAGTATGACAGTGACTCATACATTTGACACAAAAGTAAACACATTTACAGAAATGACATGCAGAGAAAAGGCTTGGCTGGTCAAGGGTAAAGTTCAGTTTAAAATATTTAACATAAAAGCTCTTGAGAATCTCAAAAGATTGAAAAGACTCTCTTCTTGGGGAAGGGGGGGACTAGTCCTCAAACAGATGTGCAGAAGAATATTTGGATTGAAACATTTTCTAGGAATGTTTCTAATCCTGTCACCACTTTCTTTTGCTGGTACAAATGGAAGGTGTAGCTGTCTGAAGGTGCTTTTAAATTTTAATGATAACAATAATAATTAAGACAAATGTGGGGAATTTTTGGTTTTTAGAAATTAAAGTTGGGAATTTATTTAGTACCAGATATTAAAAATAAAAACCTACAATGAAGACACTATTCATATAAATAATCCACTATAAAAAGACCCAGCAAAGAGTCTTGAGGACTGGAGTGTCAAAAAGTCAAATGAATTCCTTGACCCTTTGTAACTAGGCTGAGTGTTATGGCATTCGGAATCACTGTCCATTATCAAGGATGATAAGGATGAAGGAAGCCTTGCTGGGATACTTATCTTTTTGATAAAGCTGTAGACCCATAAAAATTACAGGAACTCCTGGGCTGAAAGAATTTCTTCCTTACCAGGGATAAAGCTGGGTTTAGGGCTGTTGTATATAGGGTCACTATGACTTGCAGGCGACTTGATGGCACATAACCACCACCATATTATTGTTCCTCCAGAGTTCATAGGGTTTTATTTAAGAAGTGGATGGCCAATCTGGCTTCTTAGTCTGTCTTAATCTGGGAGGTCTACTAAAACATGTCCACCATGTGTAATCCTTATGGCATTTGACATTCCAGTGGCATAGCTTTTAGCAACCCACAAGTTATCAGCAAACTGACAGACAAGTGCTATGCCAGTTATAACATTGTTCTCTGCAAACACAACAAACTGCCAGTTTAGCTTGTAACTCTAACAGCAATTAGTCTTCAAACCAGCCCAAGGACCCAAGTGATTTAGAATCACAAAATCTCATCTACGGGGTCCTGACAGGTTTAAACGAGAGGCTGCCAGCCCACACTTGATTGTTAAAGAAATCAAAATGATACTCCTGGATGCATAATTAACACCCTTTGTACCAGCAGTCAGGAAATAAGGAGACACATTGCACTGGGAAGGTCTGCAGTTAGGGAACTCTCCAAATTATTGAGGAGTAATGATGTCAATTTGAGGACTAAGATGCATCTGATTCAGGCCACGGTCTTTCTGATCATCTGCTATGCATTGGAGAACTAGAAAATGAGTAAGGATGACAGAAGAACTGACGCCTTTGAGCTGTGGTGTTGGAGAAGAGCACTGAACATCCCATGGATGGCCAAGAGAACAAACAGCTGTCTTGGAGAAAGGGTGCAGCCAGAGTGCTCTTTGGAGGCAAGAATGATGAGGTTGTTTCACCTCACATACTTTGGGCGTATTGCTCGGAGGGGCTATTTCTTGGAGAGAGACAGGATGCCGGAAAGGGTGGAGGGTCAGTGAAGGAGAGGAAGACCTTAACCAGGTAGACTGACAAGGTTATTGCCGCAATGAGCTCTAGTGTGTAGGGACATGTGAAGATGGTACAGGACAGGACTGGCTTCAGATCTATTGTTCAGAGGGTTGCTGAGTACACTCGACAGCACCTAACCATCACCACCACCACCATCTTAGCCTAATATTTCAATTATTCAGGATCCAAATGGTTTTATTTAAAGCAATTATGATTAAATAAAGAAATACTAATGTAGTAAAAGTCCCATCACTGATTCTCACCCTTCACTTTACAAAAGGCAATCTGCTTAGATATTTGAACAGACCACTCTTTGAAGCTGTTCAAACTCTATCAGTAGTTTTTCCCTGATTAAAAAAATCCGAATAAGCCACACTCTCAGTCTGGCTGGTCTGCTCCAGCCTGGAGTCCATTACACACCCAGAGCTCAGCAAACTGGGTGCTGTGATCAGCCTGACCTTGATACCAGTAAAGCTGTTGTCAGTGAAAACAATGAAGATGTGCTATCAAAACAAAGCCAGATGCTGAAAAAGAAACAGGAGTCTAGAACAAGTCTCTCATCACAAAAGAGGACTTGAAGATACAGCACTTTTGGGGTGAGTGTCCAAAATACAATTGTTGATATAATTTTAAGTTCCTTGATACAAAGACAGGTCTGGATTTTACTAGAGACACCACTACAGTGAAGCCAGCTTCCTAAAGTCTGACTCACTGGCAACTGGGAATCTTTGTCTTCAGTTTAACATCTACTGGCTCATAGCAGCTTATCTCTATATTCAGAGAACAAGGTTATAAGTTATGGCTCCTAAATCCACACCCTAAAGTTGACAGAGGCAGAAAGGCATCAGGAAATAAACATACACTCGGAGTGGCTCCGAGTCATTACAGTGGTGCTGACTGTGCAGACCCCTCCCCTGGCTCTGCTTGGTGTTGGGGAAATGGTGGCAAGAACTCTCCCAAAGGGATCCCAGAGCTGCAGCCGCCAGTCACTGCCAGCACAGCCCGCCCTTCCTAGGGAAGACAACTAAACTCACATCTAGAGCCCCTACACAGCCCTAGCCTTGGAAAATGGTGGCTGAGAAGCTGTTACGGGGGGATACCCCCCAAATATACTTCTAGCCAGTTACGACTGCAAAAACCATGAAGGGTAGGACTGCTTTGGACTGGGGCCTCTTTCCAGATGCAGGGCCTGCAGAGCTGCAGTGTGTGGTTCCAGTACTGGAGCATGCACCAGGGCAGGAGCATGGCACAGGGGCACAGCAGGGGGATGGCAAGGTGGGGACGTATGGCCCCAGGGTGCAAGTACGTAAGGGACCTGAGCTGCATAAGAGGCTCCGGAGGTTGAGTCTGGTACTGCCACAGGCTTGAGCCCCATGTTCTTCAACATAAAAGGACAGGGGAGTGTGGAGTAAGCATGTGACAGGGACAACAAAGGAAGAGGATGGGTATATCTACTTTAAATAGTGCGGCATTCGAATGGGGGAGGGGTGAAAGGGAAGGGAAAGAAAAGATTCTGATTAGGAACTCAAACCTGTGCGGTTTTTCATTCCCAGGCTAGGACAAAGGAAAGAAAATTCTTCTAGCCACTGTTCTAGAAGAGAAATCTAAAATCTATACTCTGTTTGTTGGGATATGAGTCCTGAAAATACCTGTTCACAGAGGCATGTTAAAATGTCTGAAAAGTTCAATTTTCTTTTGAAATGCTTTCAGTCTAATTCAGGCCATGATGGGATATAAAACCTCTGTAAGGAGCCTTCCAACAGGCGTTCCATCCATAAGGACAACTTGCTTAATTTTCCTTTGATGGGCCTGGAGCCAAGGCTGCCCGAAGATTTCCCTCGAGATTCAGCCAGGTGGAGGGAAGAGTCAAGATCACCACAGGACCCCATGGCTGCTTCTTCTTCTTCGACTGTTTTTTGGGGCTTGAAGAGGCAGAAGTATTTCTTGTGGCCATTCAGAGCCAGTACATAGCCCGTGTAGTCACGATCCATGAAATGCTTATCATACTGGTTTGGGATCGGGGCTGCATCTTGAGCAAATTCCAGTAAGTATTCTAGCCATTCTCTGTGTTTATCTAGACTCAGGAAGGAGAAGTGTAGGCAGCTGCTCCTGTAAGAAGAACAGAATACAGACTGAGTCTATTTACTGATACACCGGGTGCAGGTAATAGAAGTACCCGAGTTAAGCTTATAACAAAAGGCTTTGCCTCAAATGGAGCTTCCAAATAGAGGAAAATGAAGATTTTTCTGTGGCAGCCAGAGGAGGGACTCTACAACAGCAGCACCCTATTGCTGGGTGCTAGATGCTACGTCAGTCTCAGTGTCTAGCTCCTGGAATATATGCAGGAACTAAACAACAGACTAAGATCGAGTCCAATCTCTTCTGTTCACAGACAAAAGAACATCAAGTCAAAGGAATAAAAGGTGACCCCATAAAAGCTTAGAATTTGGGGTTGGGAAGATTACAGATAACATCCTGATGACTCAAAGATCTCCAGTCAGCTCCTTACCCAAATATTCTCTCACACACGCCTGGTGCTTACCCAGTGAACGAGTAGACCTCAAAGGCAAATTTCTGAAGCAGGCTGGTCTTGGTGGACTCTGACAGGATAAGGACCACATTGATGTGGCCTGGCCGCAGGCGTACCAAGTTACTGGTATATGTTATATCTGTGAGTTCAGTCACCTCCACAAAGCCTTTTTTAGGAATCTTGCTGTAGAGTAATATTGAGGAGTTAGATGTTATTAAAATAGAGGAATTTAGAAAATCAGCAAGTAGAAACAAAATGCCATACTGCTTTTCAGCTGGTCCTGAAGCAGCTTGAGGACAGCATGCAGATGGCAGCTGTCAACCTGTCTGCTGCTTTGTCTCACAGAGACCCTTCCCCCTGCCATTGGGGTGCGTGCTTACTACTGTTCATATTCACTGCGTGATTAGGGTGACACACTCTTGACTGTTAATGGCTTATCTACATTCTCTCCAACATACTTCGTTTCCTGAGTAAATTATGGAGTAATTACAAAGTAAAAAAAATGAAGTTGGTTCTATATCTAAATGGCTAGATGGTCTCAGTAAAATCTATAGTCAGCTTTGACTTTTCCACATACCCAGAAGGAGGTGAATATAAGTTTTAAACATTCACCACACACTTGTATTTTAACACACACACATATAAGTATGTGCACACAGGTATGTATATATATGTTATTATGTACTATCAACTCAGCTGACTTTCCAGCAGGCCTTCAAAAGCAGTAAACCACAGAGGAAGTTGTCCTTCTTTGTCCTGCAGAGCAGCTGGTGGGTTAGAATCATGTGTCCTTTGGATGGCACACAGTTCCTTAGCACTAGGACACCAAAGTTCCCTTGTGTACACACACACAAACTGCCTTATTAGACTCTACTATAGTCTGTGGGTTTAGTTTATATAAATAAGAGTGTGCGTGTGTGTGTGTGTGCGTGTGTGTGTGTGTGTGTAACTGCTGTATTAGGCTATACAGTCTGTCTGTGGGTCTGGTGCTGAGGAGCGGGGGTTTAGTGTTTTGTCAGAGAAACAGCTCCTGTATCTGAACCACCTGCTGTTTTCTTTGCTGAAGGTCGGTTCTGTCTTCCCCGACTTCTCGCGAGCTTCCTCTTTATTAGGAGGGCTTGATTCTCGTTCATCATTTGAGTCACTAAAATAAGAAAAAGGATATTTTTTTAATACAAGACCACAGAGGCTGGCGATTCCCCTTGGAGAAGCTGTATTGAGAAGCCAGAGCAACAGGTACCTGAAAGCCTGCATGATGACAGTGCCAAAGAGGATGAAGAGAGCCGAGAAGATCAGGGACAGGAGGGGCATCATTTCTCGCCTGGAAGAGAATGAACAAATTATGGTCAGCTCTAGATGACTTGTTATGATGTGTCAACGAATGACAGTATGTTTCTTCTCTGGCTGAAAAAAAACAAAAGAAAAAGCTCAATCAAGCCTAAGTCTTCACATGAACACAATTTTCTAATTTTACACAAACAATTATTCTAGGGTTACAGCAGTAGTAGGGAGGAAGGCAGGGAATTCCTCCCTCCCCCTTACTGTTCTAATTCACAGATAGCTTAGTCTCAAAGTTGGACTTAGTAGTACAGCAATGTTTTTTGTTGTCCAGTACCACTGAGTCAGAACCGACCCATGGCTGACTCTCCAGTGGGTTTTCATAGGCAGTTAACTACACAAGAGGAGAAAACCCATCCTTCTCCTGCAGAACAACTTCTGGATTCAAACTGAGTGCCTTTAGAATTGCACTGCAGCTTCTTACCACTAGGTCAACAGAGCTCAGTGATAATGTGGTTGTGTAGTTGTTATGTGCTGTCAAGTCACCCATGACTCATAGCGACCCTATGTACAACAGCCCTAAACCCTGCTCTATCCTGTGCCAATTACACTGTCTCCGACACACCCATCCCGATTACCCCAGTCACTGAATCAATCCACCTCATAGAGGGTCTTCCCATCCTGCGCTGTCCCTCCACACTCCTAAGCATGATGTCTTTCTCCAAGGACCTGTCTCTCCTTAGAACATGTCCAAAGTATGTCAGACAAAGCCCCAGAATCCTTGCCTCCAAGGAGTAGCCTGGTTTAACCCTCTCTAGGATGGATCTGTTTGTTTTCTTGGCAGTCCATAGAACATTCAATACTCTTCTCCAGCACCACAGCTCAAAGACGTCAATTCTCCTTGTGAACAATCTCAATCTCTTCTATTTTGCATGGAGGTCACATCAGTTATTAAAGAGGCCATTTTATTTTGTTCCTGGCTTGATGGCTCTAGCATATGGTCCAGAGGAGTGGGAGTAGGGAGAAAAGATGACCTTCCAGCATGTCCTATCTGCTGTGACTTTCTTTTACCCCATCCCACCACCTCAGGCTGCTATTTCCAGGTGTGAGGCCAGGCGCTGGCAATCACAGATATGGGTAAGACATGGCTGTGTCCTCCAGGAGCATGGGAGCATCATGATCTGGGAGAGGGCTCTCCCTGCTCTGGTCACTTCACTACTCATCTGTACACCTATGTGCTGGGCTCCACGTGGGCAGGCTCTGAACTAGGTCCTGGAGACACCAGATGAAGAGAGCCGAGGGAAAAGATGGCCAGTAAATATAAAAGAGTGAAGTTACTAAAAGAAAAGCAAATGGGGAATGCTGTTGTGTTGTTGCTTGTTATCACGTTGAGCACAACTCATAGAAACCCTATGAACAAAAGGCCTGAAGCCCCTCTACAACTATCATTGCTTATCAACGTTCATAGTTTCTGGAGGCATGTTGTTTAGGGAGTGGATGCCATTACTGCTTCCAAACCTGTCTTAAACTGGGAGCTCCACCAAACACTGTCCACCATGTTTAACTGTTATGCCATTTGACACCCCAAGGGCACAAGGTTCAGCATCACAGCAACCCCAGCTTACCTCAGTACAGCATATTGACAAAAGAGTGCTGTACCACTTAGAAGAATGTTCCTTAGACTTCTTAGAAGAATGTATTATATTAAAAATATAATAACAACCAACTTTTAAATACAAAGGCCCTCCCTGAGGTCTTGTCGACTCTAAACAAGAGGCTTAAATAAAACACAACCCATATAATATGTTGTTGTTATGTGCTGTTGAGTCACCCACTTGATGAAAATGTCTAAATTCTTCCATTTGCTTATAGATCGCTACAGTGACTGTGGCAATGGGCTCAAGTGTGTTGTGGATGCTAAGGATGGTGCAGGACAGGATAAGGGTTGGATCTGTTGTGCTATGAGTCGCATGAGACTTGATGACACCTAACAACAACAGTATGTACTGAAATCAAAGGACAGAGTCGTTTCAAAAGAAAAACACTGATATTGGTATTGGGGGGGGCAACAGAAATTCATGTTAATAATATTCCTACCAGTTGTTATGAAATATGCTATCCCAGCAGTCCGAGATGTACTCAGAAGCAGAGTAAAGCCACCGAAGCAGAAATACCTACAGAGAAGGGAAATGAAGGCAGGTCAGAACTCAACCCCAGGGGGTGACAGTGCTCCTTCTCCCTGCAGTTCTGGAGAAACATCCCGCCACCCCAGCACAGCGCTGCCGTGGGACTTCTGCTCTCAGCAAGGACACTGTCCACAGCTCCGTGAGCCCATGAGCCCTGCCCAGCCGCTCAGCCTGGCTGGGCCCCAGCGCTTACAGGGGCGAGTTCATCCATCAGGTCGGGGAGCACAGCTTCAGAGGACAGGAGGGCTGGGTCTTTGCGTAGTTGGTCAATATAACCCAATAGGATGAATTTGTCACTCTCACTCCCAGTCCAGGGGTCTTCCAGAGTTTTATATACCACTCTTCCTGCTGTGTTTCGCCTTTCTAAGATAGACACCTGGCACAGAAAGAGGAGAAACAAAAACCAACATCAGAAATCAGAGAAAGCGCATTTACTGAGTTTTCCCTGCTTGCTTAATTGCTGGGAAGCTGGTAAAAAAGGTTGTAGTGAAGTCTGTAATATCACAAACATTGATGAATATAAAATATGTCCAACACACATCCGTAGTTTCTAACATGAACAGCTCCATGCGTGGTTCAGTTCTCCAATTTCTCTATGGCCTTGGGTTCAGATTCACTACAAGGTCTCCCAGAGCCTCAGAAACAGCAGCAGAATGACTCACTTTGCCAAAAGATTAACATTCTTCTAACAGAAGAAATTATTTTTTTCATCTTTTTTTTTAATTTATTACTTTTAATCAAAGTTTACAGAGATTCTGGATTTCCATTTATTCATTGTTGTACTTTTCTCCCTGTCTACCCATCCCTCCCAATTCACTCTTTTCACTCTTCTCTTAGAAAAGTAAAAGAAAAATTCTTTCATTGTTATACAATCCCTCCCCTCAAGTCCACTCCACTATGCTGCCTTCATTCTGGACTCCTGTCATGACAGTACCTAATCACATATGCCTTTTAAACAGTTCTCTTCCTCATCTGCTTCAACACAATATACATTATTTATTCCCTCTTTTTCAGTCTTCCCTCAACCCCGATGTCAGTCCTCTTTTTTTTTTGTGGGATTTTTTAAACTAATTTTAATCAAAGTTTACAGAGACTTAGGGTTTCCAGTCATTCATTGTTGTACTTTTCTCCCTGCTTACCCCCTCCCTTCCAATCCTCTTTTATAATAGTGGCTTTATGCAGTATTTGTCTTTTTGTGATTGAGATACTTCACTCAGCATAATGTCCTCCAGAGTCACCCATTTTGTATATATAATATTTCATGAGTTCCATGTTTTTCAATGCAGCGTAGTATTCCACTGTGTGACTATACCACAGCTTATCTATCCATTCATTTGTTGATGGGCACTTGGGTTATTTCCAACTCTTTGCTACTGTGAACAAAGCCACAATAAACATGGGTATGCAGAATAATTTTATTTATGATGAATTTCCAATGCTTTTGGTAAAAGTTATCTTCTCAGTAAGCTTTGTTCTATAACCTCTGGCAGAATAAAACAAAGGAAAGCTTTATTTCTGGAGATAAACAAAAACCAGGGTCTTCTGATGATGAAATGATGAAAAAGACAGGAGGAGAATAAAAACAACTATGAGATATCATCTTACCTGAGTAAGAATAGCAAAATTCAACAAAGCGGCAAACAGCAAATGCTGGCAAGGTTCTGGAGAAACTGGAACCCTTATTCACTATTGGTGGGAGGGTAAAATGGTGCAACTACTATGGAGGCACTTTCTCAGAAAGTTGAAAATAGAAATACCATTTGACCCAGCAATTCCACTACTAGGAATATACCCTAAAGAAACCAGAACTGCCACCCAAGCAGATATATGCATACCCATGTTTATTGTGGCTTTGTTCACAATAGCAAGGAGTTGGAAACAACCTAAGTGCCCATCAACAAACAAATGGAGAAGCTGTGGTATATTCACACAATGGAAGACTACACTGTATTGAAAAACAAGGAACTTATGAAATATTATACAAAATGGGTGACCCTGGAGCACATTATGCTGAGTGAAATATCTCAGTCACAAAAGGACAAATACTGCAAAGTGCCACTATTATAAAATGAGACTGACATCGAGGTTGGGGGAACCTAAGGAAAGAGGCGATAAATAATGTATACTACATTGAAACAGATGAGGGAGAGAACTGTTTAAAAGGACAAAGGATTAGATATTATTTTCATGACAAGATTACAGAAAAAGAAATGCATATTAAAGTGGACAGTGGACTAGGAGATTGTACAACAATGAAAGATTTTTTTTTTCTTCTTCAAAGAGAAAACGAACTGGGGGAGGGGTTGGCAGTTAGGAAATGTGCAACAATGAATGAATGGGGGGAAATCTAAATGGAAAGAATATGCTATAAAAATATATATGTTGCATTAAAAAAATCATGAATAAAAAACAAAATTAAAAAAAAGGAAAATGAATACATTAGGAAAGAAGAAGAAAAAAGATAGGAGGAGAACGCCATCGCTCTCTAGAGTGATGACAAAGGTGCCGGGAGGGGAACACAGGCAGGATGAAAGACACACTGCATAAGTAAAAGGAAGATACGTTTCTGAGCATGTTCCTGGTAGGACAAGGATATTTTACTAACTAGGATACTGTGTGGACATGAAAAAGTGAAAAGGGCTGATGTGCTTTAACCTTTCCCCACAGGAAAAATGCTTTCTGTGGACATCTACCTCTAAAAATCCAGGCTGTGGGCTGACTAGGGGGAAAGAGTGGATTAAGAGTGGGCCTTCCTACAGTTAGGAAGAGGTCTCCTGGATTCTATAGTTGAGACTCCTGAGGAAGCAGGTGCGTGGCACATACCACATATTTGTGAGGGCTCCATGTATTCATGACTCACCGCTGACTGTCCTTGAAACATGTCACCATCTGGTAGTAAGGTGCTGGCGAACTCCTGCTGCCGAGTGCTGTAGACGTGCACGAACCTCACTGTGTCCTGTGAGTTTGCAAGGGCAAAGGACAGGAAAGCCTCAAATGGTTTACTCAACTTGGTGGTCTCGGGAGTCAGTAAAACCACACAGTACCTGCATGACAACAAAGACAAGAGTGTGTAACCAGGGTCTGAGGCCACTGCTCGGACCTGTACAAGCGAGCATTTATTCCAGTGAAGAAGAGGAGGCTCTTATAAAGCAAAAATGGTTTGTACATTTGAAACTGTATGCTGAAAAGTCCCTAGTGGTGAAAGATTTCCAGATAATTAGCAAAATGGTCAAGAAAACATCACTTGAGAAGATGACAACTTTGTAGAGACCTTAATAAAATGAATCACAAGAGCAAATGTGGTCAGACCAATCCAGGCAGTGAGAACTGTTAAGTGTAGAGATGCTGAGATAGACAATGATTTGGTCTGATTCACAGTTTTAGGAGGATCACTGGCTGATGTGAGGAGAACTGAGAAGAGAGTGTAAGAGTGGAAGCAGGGCAACCAGAATGTATGGACGCTGACGGTGGCCTGTTTCTGAATGGCAGTGGTGAAAAAATGTGAGAAATGCTGGGCTTTGGAGTATTTTTTGAAAGGTAAGTAAACAGCAATCCTTAATGACCAAGGTATTTTTCTTTCTATTTAGTTGAAGTCTTTTTGCTTCTCTTTTAGACTGTGAAGGAATGTGAAAATTCTGCAAACACTGGGGAAATTTTCATTTTAAATAGTCTAATCAGGACATTTTTCAATCTAATTAAAGGTTTTCTTGTTTCTCCTTTACATTATAAAAGAATAGGGAAAATTTGCAAATGTAGGGAAACTTTAATTTTAAACAGTATTGTAGCTGTATTTTCAAATAATATGATGGCACATAACAACATGATCAATATGCTTTCCTGCCATCTCCATACGCACATGTTAAGATTTAAATCTAAACCCACTGATTTATGAACATGAGCAAAGTACATAAGCATTTTTGCCTATAATTTCCAGACTTGTTACTCTTTGTATATAACCCTTCACAGGCTTTACAGAATTAAGTGCACCACAACTTTTTCATTTTTCAGTTAAGCAGTTTAACATGTTTTTAGTGCCTTACTTCTTCACTGCTAAATCCCCCCAAAACTCAGCCAGCATGGAATGTTCAGCTGATAAAGAATAGTAACTCTCTCTATTCCATGCTTCATTAAAGTGACCCAACCTTTCTCTGACCTCTTACCACCTCACCAGGCTATCAGCTACTCAAAAGGTCTCAGCTGAGGTGGGAAGATCTTCTCTAGACTAGACCTACAAATCCAACTCTTTGGTACTAAGGTCCTCGGATATACAGAACTACGTCCATCAGTCAACAAGATTTGTGAGGTAAAGAATAAGCTGTGTCATGGGTAGATGCTTAGTCTCCCTGCAATAAAAGGCAAATAGTAAAATGGTTTCTCTACTGAAATGAAAAACTGATAGGAAGTCTTGAGTCCTTACTTCCTCTGTCGGTGAGACCGTTTCACAGGGCAGAGTTCATGGAACAGCTTCTGACTGGTGAGCCTGGCTGCCAACAGGTACTTGTTTTGCGTGATGAAGTCGTCAATGACTTGCTTCTTCATACCTCGAGCCTGGGGAAACACCAAGAAGCAGCTCATTTTTACGATATTTTTTATTGGGTTTAGACTTTACTTTTAAGCTTAATAAGTCTGGCTGACCCTAGCTAAAGAAGAATACAACATTTGTGCAAATCAAACATATGGTGCTCTTTTCAATTATGTAGTGGTAAGAAGCTATGCTACAATCCCAAAGGTATGCTGTTTGAATCTAGCAGCTGCTCCTGCGGAGAAAGACAGGCAATTTCTTTCCATGTATTTTACTGCCTCTGAAAATCTGCTGGAGGGTCAGCTATGGATTGGTTCTGACTTGACAGCAAACAACAACAGGGTTAAAATGAGTGTAATTACTTCAGGTCAAAGGAAATATCAAGTGTAGAGTGAAAAAGCAAAGGCTTTCCCCCTTTTTTCTCTTGAAAACTTTTATATGTTTTAGACAGATAGATTAAAACAGTCATTTTGCAATTGAGGCAGATTTCCATTCAGGATTTATAGCCACAGAAGAATGAAAAATAAACCTCATATATTTCAAAAGATTATAATCCTATCTAGTAGGTTTACTGACCACAACGTGGTTAATCAGAAATCATAATAAAATTTAAACTGGAAAATCCATTATGTTTGGAAATGAAAAAACTCATTTTGAGTAAGTTACTGTTCTAAAGAAAATGCGTATTAGACATTGGAAAATTATATAAATTTAAGCAACTGATGAAAATACTCTCATCAAAACTTTGGTATCAAGAAAAGACAACCCGTAGAATGAAAACTATTTGCTAATCAGATGCCTTAACTCAACCAGAAAAGATAATCTAATATAAAACAGGTCAAGAACTTGAATGGGTATTTCTCTACAGAGGATATACAAATAGCTAATATGCATATGCGGGAGAAGGATGGGCAGCCTGTTCCAGTGTAATTCACTGCCTCTGTTTTACTACCACTGAAAACCCACTAGAGGGTTAGCTATGAATTTGTTCAATATGCATATGGGGGAAGAAGCTCAACATCACTCTTCAATAGCAAAAGGCAAATCAAAACTACAGTAAGATACTATTCCAGATCTACTAGAACGGCAACTGTGAAAAAGCCCCCAAAATAACAAGTGTCGTCAAAGATAAGGAGAAATGGGGAACACTGGTACACTGCTGACGGGGAGTGTAAAATGGTGTTGAGCATTGTGCACAAGTTTGATGGTTCCTTCAGAAGTTGAATATAAAATTACCCTTGTTGTTGTTATGTGCCATCGAGTTGTTGTGACTCATAGCGACCCTATGTACAAGAGCCCTAAACGCCGTTCTATCCTGTGCCAACCTCACTGTCTCAAACACACTCATTCCCACCACTCCACTCACAGAATCGATCCATCTCATTGAGGGTCTTCCTCTCCTGCACTGTCCCTCCACTCTCCCAAACATGATGTCCCTCTCCAAGGACCAGTCCCTCCGTGTAACATGCCCAAAGTATGTCAGACGAAGCGTCAGAATCCTTGACTCCAGGGAACATTCTGGCTTCACCCTCTCCAGGACAAACCTGTTTGTTCTCCTAGCAGTCCACGGTATATTCAACACTTTTCTCCAGCACCAAAGCTCAAAGGCATCAATTCTCTTTCTATCATCCCTATTCACTGTCCAACTCTCCAATGCATAGGACATAATTGCAAAGACTATAGGCTGGATCAGGCGCACCTAGTCTCCAGCCTGACGTTGTTGCACTTCAGTACTCGAGAGGTCCCTCACAGCTGACTTTCCCAATGCAATTCGTCTCTTGATTTCCTGGCTGCTGTTACCAAGAGTGTTGATGGTGGAGCCAAGCAAACGAAAACTGTTAACTATCTCAGTCTCTTCATCATCCATACTGATGCTGCCAATGGGCCCAGTGGTGAGAATCTTTGTTTTCTTGATATTGAGCTTCAATCCATATTGAAGACTGCAGTCCTTGACATTCTGCAGCAAGTGCTTCAGGTCCTCCTCAGTTTCAGCAAGCAGGGTTGTGTCATCTGCATAACGCAGGTTGTTGACGATTCTTCCACCAATCCTGATGCCACATTCCTCCTCATACAGTACAGTGATAAGACCCAGAAAATGCACTCATGGTATTTACTCAAAAGAATTAAACATAGACACACACACAAATGATACTTCTATAACAATGTGTACTGAAGTGTTAGTCATAGGATCTAAAAAAATAGACACAACCTAAGTATTCATCAACAGATGAATGGTGTGTATCTAAGCATTGGAGTATTGTTAGGTCATATCAAGTCCAGTATGACTCATAGCAAACTTATAAACAAGAGATCTGAACCCTGTCCTATTCTGTGCCATCCTAACAACTTTTGACACACATGGACCCACTGTTGTATCACTGTGCCAGTCTTCCCGGTTAAGGTTCTTCCTCTCATCCATAAAGAGAAATTAAATTCTAAATAGTGATTAGAATAATATTACTAAAGAAAAGGAAAGAAATTCAGTTCTAATATGGATGTATGCTGAGTGAAATAAGTCAGACAAAAAGCTATTTATATGAACTATCTAGATGACATAAATTCCGAGAAAGGAAGCAGATTAATGGTTATCAATGATTGGGGGAGGGGAGAATGGAAAGTATTGCTTAATGAGCAGAAAATTTCTACTTGGGATATAGTAGTAATGGTTGCACAAAACTGTGAATACAGTTACTCAATCACTCATTTTAAAGAAGTTGTTGTCGTTATATGCCATCAGGTTGCCCGTGACCCTATGCATATTAACTTTGAACACTGGTAAACCAATCTCATCATTTCAGACAGACCTAATCTCATTTCTCCAGTCTCTTCCTTGGTCTTCCTCTCCTGCACTATCCCTCTACTCTTCCAAGCATGATGTGGTCGCTCCTGGCCACATGCTAAAAGTATGTGAGACGGAGTTTCAAAATCCTTGCCTCCAGGGTGCAGCCAGGTTTCACCATCTCTACGACAGACATGTTTGTTCTCCTGGAGTCTACAGTATGTTCAACACTCTTCCTCAGCACCACAGCTCAAAGGCATAAATGATGCTTCTATAATCTGTAGTCACGGTCCAGCTCTCTGATGCATAGCACGTAATTGTGAAGACCATGGCCTGTATCAGGCACACCTTAGTCTCTAGACTGACATCATCATTCTTTAGTAATCTAGAGAGGTCTCCAATGGCAGGCTCTCCCAGTACAATTCACTTTTTGATTTCCTAACTGCTAGTGCCAAGAGTGTTGATTTTGGAACCAAGCAAGCTGAAGTTATTAACAATCTCAGTCTCTTCATCTATCATGAAGCTGCCAAATGGCCCAGTGGTGAGAATCTTCTGTTTTCTTGATGCTGAGCTTCAATCCATTTTGAAGACCAGTCCTTAACCTTCTGAGCATACACCTCATGTTCTCCTCAGTTTCAGCAAGGTTGTATAATTTGCATAAGTTGTTGATGAATCTCCCTCCAATCCTGATGCCACATTCCTCCTCATAAAGTCCAGCCTCATAAATGCTCTGCATACAGACTGAAAAGGAATGGATATATGGTGCACCCCTGATGCACACCTTTCCTGATTCTGAACCATTCAGTGTCTCCCTGCTCTGTTCTGACTACTGTTTCCAAGTGTAGATTTCACATGAGTAAAATTAAGTGCTCTGGATTCTATATTTTTCTCAAAGTTAGCCACAATTTGTTGTGATCTCCCCAGTCACATGCCTTTGCATAGTCAACGAAACATAAATAAGACATTTCTCTGGTCCTCTCTGCTTTCAGCCAAAATTCATCGAACGTTGGCTATGATGTCCCCACTGTCATGGCCTTTTCTAAATCCCAGCACATCTGGCAGTCCTCTCTAATGTCCTGTTCCAGTCTTTTCGGCATAATCTTCAGCAGGATTTTGCTTGTGTGTTGAGAGTAGTGATATTGTCCAATAATTTCCACAATCTGTCGGGTCCTCTTTTTTTGGAATAGGAACAAATACAGATCTCTTCCAGTCAGTTGACCAGGTAGGTGTCCTCCAGATTTGTTGCCATAACATGGTGAGCACACCCAGGGCAGCATCTGTTTGCTGAAATATGTCAACAGGTATTCCATCAATTCCTGGGGCCTTGCCTTTTACCAATTCCTTCAGAGCAGCTTGAACTTCTTTCTTTATCGTGATAGGCTCTTAATCACATGTTTTTTCATGAAATTCTTCTGTGTCAGCTAATTATTTTTGGTATAGTAACTCTGTGTACCATCTTCTTTTGATACTTCTGGGTCATTCAATATTCTGCCTTTGGCATCCTTAAATATTGCAACTCGAGGATTGAATTTCTTAAGCTTAAGAAATACTGAGCAAGTTCATCCATTTTTATTTTCTGACTCCAGCTCTTTGCACATTTTGTTATAATACTTTGCTTTGTCTTCCTGAGCTGCTCTTTAAAATCTTCTTTATTTCTTCCCTTCCCTTTGCTTTGGCTTCTAGGGTGGTGTAGTGCAATATTTAGAGTCTCTTCTGACATCCAACTTGGTTTTTTCTTCCTCCTCTGTCTTTGTGATGAATTTTTTGCATTCTTCAGGAATGATATTCTTGATATACTCCCACAGCTCATCTGGTCTTCGTTGCTAGTACTCAAAGTTTTAAACCTTTTACTGAGATGTTCTTTAAATTCTGGTCATAGACTCGAGGTCAAACTTTGGTTCTTGAGGATTTGATTTTCTTTTGCTTCAATTTGAACTTGCAGATGAGTAGCTGATAGTGTGTTCCACAATTAGCACCTGGCTAGTTTTCACAGCTGATACCGAGCTTCTCCAGCGATTTCTTCTGCAGATGTGGTCAATCTGATTCCTGCGTAGACTGTCAAGTGAAGCTCATGTGTATAGACAATACTGATAAATTTTATATATGTATGTGTGTGTTTTCCCACAATATAGAAAAAGGGAAGGAACTTTGATACAGATAAAACAGCATTTAGATGGTACTCCTAAAAGAAATATTAGAAAATTAGTTAATAAACTAAGCATCCATGTCAAGAAGTTAAAAGAAAAC